GGCGCGGGGAACCGGGTGCGGCGTGGGACCGGGTGTTGCGTCCATGCGGGGTCGGGGGGCGCCACGGTCCGGGCTCCGCAGTTCCGCCCGACGTGGGGCCCCGTGGCCCTGAGCCCTGGGGTGGTGGGAGCCCCTGCGCTGCGTTGCGCGGCCAGGGCCAGAGTCCCGGAGCCGTCTTGTCCAGCTCCGGGCCGTGTGGGCGTGGGAAGCCCCTGGTCGCGGAGCTGGCGGAAAAGTGCTGATGGCGCTTTCCTCGTCCCGGAGCCCAGCCCTGCTCTGCACAGCGCGGCTGCAACTGCACCGTGAGGGTGCAACTGCAGCGGACCAGCTGGGCTCCTGGCTTCGCTGCCCTTCAGATTTGGACCCTGGCCACTATCTAGTCTGTCCGTCCACCTGTCAGACAAAACAAAACACCTTTAAAAAAATTCCTTATTTTTATTTTACATGTATGAGTGTAGTGCCTTTGCATGTGTGTAAATGCACCCGTGTCGTGCAATGCCTACGGAGGACAGAAGAGGGCGTTGGAATCCTCTGGAACTGGGGTTAGGGACCATGCTTAGCCGCTATGTGGGTGCTGGGAATCGAACCCGGGTCCTTTGCAACAGCAGCCAGTGCTTTTTAAAAGAAGCAATTGAAGGTGGGCAGGTGGTGCTTGCCTGTAATCCCAGCACTTGGGAGGCCGAGGTTGGGGAATGGCTTTCAGTTTCAAGCCAGTCCTGCTACAGAGTGAGACCCTGGCTCAAAAGTGGGGGTGGGGGTCAAGTTAAATGAGTCAACAACTTGTTTTCTGCCACAGCAGCTCTTTAGCTTCGTCGCATGAGTGTACAGTTCCGTTTGTTAGATGACTGTACTCAAAAGCAGACAGCTAAGCTGACCCAGTAATGCCGGACTGTAAACACTCAGCTCTGAAAGGGTGTGTAGATAAGCCTGGGCAACAGCCTGGCTGTTCTCCGAGGGCTAGAGCAGACTTCTCAATTTCTGAAGTGGAGTTTCTAGAACAGACCCTTAGAAACGTCGGGATCTTCAATTAGGATTCATACTTTTCAAGTACGTTGATTTTCAAATTTAACTGTTGAAGGTCAGTTTTAGCGATATGAACCAAGGTAAAATAGCTTATGGAGCGTTGGAGAGGTCCCTGGAAGAAAGAAGCTTGCATTAGGTTGATAAAGTGAAAAAAGTCTCCAAGTGAATAACTCTCTTAATCATTGTTTTAGTGTCTCTAATTTCAGGAGGACTGTTATCCTTAAGAATTGCACACTGAAAATTTACTCCAACTATTTTTTTGTTTTTAATATTTATTTCATGTGTATGGGTGTATTGACTGCATGTGTCAGTGCACCTGTGTCATGCAGTGCCCACGGAGGTCAGAAAAGGGTGTTGGATCCCCTGCAACTGGAGTTACAGACAGTTGTTAGCGGCTATGTGGCTGCTGGGAATCAAACCCAGATCTTCTGCAAGAGCAGCCGGTGCTCTAAACCTCTGAGCCATCTCTGCAACCCCTCCAACTATTTATTTTTATTTTTATTTCATGTGTATGTGTGTGTTGCCTGCATGTGGGTAAGTGCACCCGTGTGGTGCAGTGCCCCCAAGGGCAGAAGAGGCTGTCGGATCCTCTGGAACTGGAGTTACAGACAGTTGTTAGCTGCCATGTGGGTGCTGGGATTCGAACCCTTGTCTTCTGCAAGAGCAGCCAGTGCTCTTAACCGCTGAGCCATCGCTCCAGCACCCCCTCCGACTATTTTTTAATGTCTATATTTTGGGCTGTAATGTTGTTAAAGAAATAAAAAGGTCTTTCAGAGGGCCCTGAGTTTAGGGTTCCCCATGCTGAGGCTGAATGAACATGCACTGTTGTCTCTTAGGGGCAGAAGGCAGTGTGGAGTCACAGAACCTGAGGCCCAGCAGACGCCAGGCTTTCCACTTCTCAGTTTACCACATTAAGTGCTACCGTTTCCCTAGCTAGCTTCAGCTCCCCTGCCCCGTGCCCAGTGTCTGCTGCCTGCACACGGGGCATCTCCATGCTTAGCAGCAGGCTGCCTGTTCATGGAAACTGTCCTGACTGCCAATCACAGCAGAGGCCTGTGGATCTTTCAGACGACCTCTGGTTTGTGACAGTATATCCATCCCTTCTTCACAGTCCATGACAGCAGCTCAGGCTCCTTGCCCTGGATTTCCTACCCCTGACTTGCCCCTTCCTGGCCTCCTGTGTTGGCTCTTCTGCCCCTGCCCATCTCACACTTTGGGTTTCTGAAGGCTGTGACCTTGACCGTCCTGTCACACCTGTGCCCCTCATCCACCCCAGAGACAGGAGCTGTGACACTGAGCCACTTCATGTCCCCCCACAATTTCCGCGCTGTTCTCCAGCTCTTACTGCACACTGACTTTTCAGCCAGAGCAGTTCTTTAAAGATGCCCTTGCTTGAGTGTTAACACTAGGCTCTCCATCGCTTTCAGGATGGAGTTCAGCTCAATCTACTGGAGCCTGATGGTGTGGCCCACGTCTGTGCACACGTACCCTTTCCAAACCAGCCTGCTTGGCCTCCTTCAAGCCCACCTCTGGGCTTGTGTTGCCTCCTCCACCAGAGCTACCCTGTTATGTCTTCTGACTAACTTCCCTGGGATTCAGCCACTTCCCCACCCTGCTGTTACTTTTCAGCTTTTTGGAGGTGGTGCTCCACCTCTGTGCTCTTAGTGCCTTGTATAGGGTTTGGCTGTTTCCATTGCATTTGCCCTCCAGAGCCCTTTCACGCCTCAGTAGGCTTCATGCCCGCCTCTGCCTGCTGCATGCCCAGCATGATGCTTGGCCTGAGTTAGATGCCCCCTGTTCTGGTTGGCTGTGATGAAAACACTGACGAATACCAACTTGGGGAGGAAAGGGTTTATTCAGCTTACATCTCCTGGTCACAGTTCATCACTGAGGAAGCCCGGGGTGGGAACTTGGAGGCAGGAGCTGGAGCTCAGGTTATGGAGGAACACTGCTTACTGGTTGCTCCCCTGGCCCCTGCTCAGCCTGCTTTCTTATGTAACACAGGCCCACCTGCCCAGGGTGGCACCACCCACAGTGGGCTGGGCCCTCCCACGTCACTCAACAATCAAGAAGATGCCCCACAGACATGGCCATAAGCCAATCCTATGGGGACAATTACCCATTGAGGCTCCTCAGCCCAGGTGTGTCAGGCTGACACTGAAGCATCCACATTCTGCCACTTGATGCTCAGACACAGATGCATCCTAAGCAAGCTCTCTAACCGTGTCTCTGTATATGTGTTTAACGTAGAACATACTGTTTAGTCGCCATGCTGGGTGTCACCACCTGCATGACCCACAACCACGCATTCAGGCAGCTCAGCGCTGTCTGTCTACCTTGAGACCTGTTATTTCATTTCCCCGTCCTTCATAAAGGGGCTGCTGCTGGCCCTATCACCTGGTTGGAACCTGGTTATTTCTGAGTTTCCACCCTCCAGTCACTGGGCCTATCTCTACCTCTCAAGTGCCCATTAGGTCTGTCCTCACTGTCCCTTCCTGCTCTCCCCGGCCTCAGCATCGCTGGCCTGTCTGTAGCCACTCAACCACTTCTGGCTTCTGTTTGGCTTCTTTCCCCTCTCGATGGACTCCATTGTCAGCCAGACGCATCCTTTGACACGCACATCTGAGCAGCTTGTGCCTTTGTGCTGCCCTCCTGCTACCCCAGTGCCCCAGAGTGTGGCTACAGGGGTGCTTGCTGCCAGGGTGCCCAGCTTCCTACCTCCGCCTAGACAAGTGCTCGCTGCCCTCACGAAGTCCTCTCCCCAGCCACTCTGCTCTGGTACACCCACGTTCTCTCTCGCGGTCGCTGCCCAGCCACCTCCCCTTGTGCTACAGTTGTGCCTCCACTGTCTATGCCTCTCTAGCTGCTCACTGGCCTTTTTTGTACTAGTGTGAGAGCTCCTTTGGTGGAGATGCTTGTCTAGTAACCTGTGTGTACCCAGAGCTTCAGGCTC